TACTTTTTCAATGTAAATTACAATGTAAACTCAAGGTAATTAATAAGACAAAAATAATTAATTAATTTGAGTTGCATCCCTTAGTACCTTTGTTTCAAGATGAGTACGGATTTAGTAGTACATACCAAGGCACCTCTTTCAGAAGCATATAAGAGAGTATCAGCGGAGGGTTTTACAGACACAGATATGTCTATACAACTATGGATAATAATAACACTGGATAAACACAGTGAAGATAAAGAGAACAATACACAAGGATTTAACGTGGTTCAATCAGTATTACCTACGTCCACGAGCGAGAATAACAGAGAACTTCACTAATCACAAAAGAGAATATTACAAAAGAGATCACTCTCTAAACCCCACCAAAGAATCACACACAAAAAAGAAACTAACTCCCTCTCTCTGTGTGTCTCTCTCTTCTCTCACCCTTCACCACTCCTCCATCTATAACCTTCCAATATTAATATAAAATTGCTAATGGTTGGTGTAAAAGGGAGTTAGGTTAGGAAATAGTTGGGCTAGAATGTAGGGAGGTAGGTGCTTTTTATCTTCATATGCTAAGTCAAATAACAATAAATCTTCACATTGACTTTGAATATGAAGATCTTCTCTTCACTCTTGTTGTCGTGCCAAAAACCTCTTACGGGCTTAACCTCCACTGTGTTGAACTCCAAGCAATTCGAGGCAATGCTCGAACTTGCACGAAAGTACGAGCTTTGTCATCATATCTGCTGGATTATCCGCAGTACTAATTTTCTCAATCTTAATGACTTTAATTTATCTGATAAAATGATACATGGTATCTATATGTTTTGTTCTTTCATGATATATTTGATGCTTTGTCAAATGTATAGCACTTCGGCTGTCACAAAATATCGTAATAACACATTGGTGTAAGCCGAGTTTTTTAACCAAACCTCTTAACCAAATGGCTTCTTTGATTGCTTCTATTACTGCCACATACTCTACCTCGGTGGTAGACAAAGTAACTGTCGATTATAGAGTCGCCTTCCAACTAATAACACTACCTAAAAGAGTGAATATATAACCTGTCAAGAACTATCTCTTATCCAAATCTCTCACATAATCTGAATCAAAATAGCCAAGTATTCTGCAATCTGAATTTGTGTTCCTATCAAAATATAAACTAACTTAACAGATCCTCTTAAATATCTAAGTATCCATTTCACAGTCTACAAAAAGGCCTTTTCAGGCTTATCTATATACCAACTCACAATTGTGAACTATATGTGAAATATCTGGACATGTATAGGCCATATCATACATAATGCTTCCAACTGCGCTGACATAAGGAACACAAGACATGTACTTCTCCTCCTCTTCAGTCTGAGATGACAGACCTGCTAAAAGACAAAAAATGAGTAGCAAGCAGAGTCTTCATATGCTTGTCATCAAGCATGTCAAATCTCTCCAATACCTTCTTGATGTATTTCTTCTGAGTTAAGAATAAACTTCATTCTCGCCTGTTCCTGTGAATCTCCATCCTCAAAATCTTCTTTACCGCTCCTAAGTTCTTCATCTCAAACTCATATTTGAGTTGAGATTTCAAATCGTTTATTTTTGACATATTTTTAGTTGCAATCAATATGCTATCAACATACTAAAGCAAATACACAAAAGAACTATCATTGAGCTTTTTATGATAAACACAACTATCGTATTTTCTCCTAGTGTAACCATGCTCAAACATGAAAGTATCAAATCATAAATACTACTGTATTGGAGTCTGTTTCAACCCATAAATAGATTTTTTCAACCTGCACACATAAGTTTTTTTTACCTTTAACAATGAACCCCTCTGGTTGATGCATAAAGATCTGCTCCTCAAGCTCACCATGTAGAAAAGTCATCTTCACATCAAGTTGCTGAAGCCCCAAATTAAAATGAGCAACCATGGCAAGCAACATGCCGATTGAGGTATGTTTTACAACTAGAGAGAATACTTCATTGAAGTCTATACTTTCTTTTGATTGTAGCTTTTAGCTACCAATCGTGCCTTGTACCTTATAAAATTTTTATCCGAAGCTCATTCGTTCTTTTTAAAAACTCATTTACAGTCAATTTTCTTTCCCCTTGGTGTATTTACTAACTCCCATGTCTGATTCTTGTGAAGAGACTACATCTCTTTAGTCATCGCAACAGTCTAATTTGCAGCCTTATTATCATTAATAGCCTCCTTATAGGTAGAAGGCTCTGGAATCTCAATCGATTCTGCTATACTCAAAGCGTAAGAAAGCACATCTGCATAATGTTAAGGAGGTCGGATCTACCTTTTTGTTCTCCCAATGATAATATTATATTATTTCTCTTGCAGTGTATCGGCATCTGAAGTTAAAACTTTTCATAGTGTCAACTGGTTCAACATGAGCGTCATCAAGCACTCTCTTTGAAGCTGATGTCTCTAGCTCCACATGCTTGCTAGATTCCTTTTCAGTACCTGTAGTATCAATAACAAAGTCTTTTCTTGGGTAAAACATGGATTTTTCATCAAAAGTAACATCTCTACTAATAATAAACTTAGATGATTTAGCATCAGAACACACAATCTATATCCCTTCACCCCAGTAGCATATTCTAAAAAGATAGTTTTCTTTGCTCTGGGTTCAAGCTTACCATCATTAACATAAAATAAGCAGAGCAACCAAATACTCTTAAATGAGAGTAATTAGCAAGGGCACCAGACCATACCTCTTTTGAAGTCTTAAAATTAATTGCTACATGAGGAGATTCGTTATCAAATAGCAATCTGTATTGACTATCTCGGCCCAAAAGTCTTTTGACAAACCGACATTAGAGAGCATGCATCGAGCTCTCTCTGAAAGTGTTCTGTTCATCCTTTCTGCAACTCCATTTGTTGTGATTTATGCCGAACTGTATGATGATGTACAATACCTTCATTCTTGTAGAATTGATCAAACTCTGCGGAACAAAACTCTATCACATTATCAGTTCTGAAGTGCTTCACTTTTTTTTTCAATTTTCTTCTCAATCATAACCTGTTATTGCTTGAAGGTTGCAAACACATCACTCTTATGCTTCAAAGGATACACTCAAACTTTTCTGGAATAATCATCAATCAATGTTAACAGAAAATGAGCTCCATCTTTCGATGGAACCTGAGAAGGACCCCAAACATCTAAATAGATATAATCTAAAGTATCATTGGTTCTGCGGATGCCAGTACTAAAGAAGACTCTATGGTGTTTGTCGAAAATATAATGCTCACAAATGTCTAGCTTACTAGTTTTCTGACCACAAAGCAGATCTTATTTGCTCAATACATCTAGTCATCTCTCACTCATATGCCCTAACTACATATACCACAAACGTGTAGTATCAGAATTTGAATCATCTGAGGATAATACTACTGCAGCACATGTCACTGTGCTACCTTCAAAGACATAGAGGTTATTTATCTTCTTTCCTTTCATCACAACAAGAGAGCCTTTACTAACTCTCAAAACTCTACCTTTAGCCGAAAACTTAAAACCATTTGAGTCAATGGTGCCTAAAGAAATGAGATTCTTCTTTAACTCTGGCATATGTCAGACATTGCTCAATGTTCTAATAATTTTATCATGGGTTCTAATCTTAATTGACTCAATACCAACAGTCTTGTAAGACATGTTATTTCCCAACAAGACATTCCCACTATCAATAGATTAATATGTGACAAACTGATCCCTATGTGGACACATATGATAGTAACAACCCGAATCAAGAATCCACTCGTCTTGTGAATGAGTATTAATATTAATTGAAAGAACTTCATGTGAACTAGAAGACTCTTCAATTATAGTGGCAACTGAAGGTTTCATCTCCCCAGACTTCGACTGTGAATTATCCTTTGCTTTGAGTACTGGACAATTAGGTTTTATATGCCTATACTTCGGACAATAATAATATCCAATATTTTTTCTTAGCCTAGACTTTGATCTAGACATATTTCTAGATTTGCCTCTATCACCAACACTCTTTTTAGGACAACCACAAGCGAACAAGCCCTCAGCTTGATCCTCTCCTCCTATGACAGACACTTTTTACCTTAACTCTTTGAATGTAAGACTGATTTGATATCCTTCAAAGAAA